TCTATATCTCTTTTTTTGTCTCTCCCTCTCCCGCCCTCACCGCTCTCCATGTCTCTTTTAGGCTGGGAACGCCACTTTCAACCGGGCAAAGCTGTTGAACGTCGGTGTGAAGGAGGCCATGCGGGACGAGGACTGGGACTGCCTTTTCCTCCATGACGTTGACCTCATCCCCGAGAACGACCACAATCTTTACATATGTGATCCCTGGAGCCCTAAACACGCCTCAGTGGCCATGAACAAGTTCAGCTACAGGTTCGATTTCTGGGTGTCTCGTATGTCTCCTCCACCTTCAGCCCCCTCCTTCTTCCTTCCCCAGCTCCTTCTGTCTTCATTCTCCATCTGTCATCTCCCTCCGTTCTTACGTCTTATCATCATTGGACCATCTGCTCCATCCTCTGCTTCCCGGATCCGTGTGTTTTATTCTCCTCTCCCTCCGCAGCCTCCCGTACCCGCAGTATTTCGGGGGGGTCTCCGCCCTCACCCCGGAACAATACATGAAGATGAATGGCTTTCCCAACGAATATTGGGGGTGGGGAGGAGAAGACGATGACATTGCCACCAGGTAAGAGACCGGTCCTCTATAGTGACTCCCCTCCAATGTCTATCCAGGCCTCCTTCATCCTATGTTCATCTGTTTTCTTCATGAAAATAAATATCTGCTAAACATTAATTGTATGTCTTTATATTTGTCCAATTGTATCGTAACTGTAATGTCTTCCTTATATTGTAAAGTGCTGCGCAAACTGTTGGCGCTATATAAATACTATGTAATAATAATGTTATATAGCCAAGCATCAGAATATTCTAGATTATTAATATTATACATTATGAGATGAGTTCCCGGGTCTGTACACCTGCTGTGCCCATTATGAGGGGCTCCCACCATCCCTGTGCTGAGTTCCCGGGTCTGTACACCTGCTGTGCCCATTATGAGGGCTTCCCAATATCTCTGCTGGATTTGTATTTATTTTATATTATGAAAAATGTAATGGGAGGAGCTGGAACACATAAAGTTGGGTGGGAACACTCCCAGGGGGATGGAATCTGAGTTGGGAATTCTGACAGGGACATGTTACTGTTGGACTGTCCAAGAGATGTAAAAATCTGGGTCTGACTCCGCCCACCGGGGGTCTACCTAATATGCAAATATCACTTTTGGGTGTACTAGCCCTTTAAATACACCATTGCAGGGTTAGTACCAGTTATGGGCATAAATTGTGTTTAGCAGCTTTTCTTTCAAGTTGTTTTTGATGTAATCATTTTTTATTCATTTGTCTCCCCCCCTAAATGTCTGGTTCCTTTATCCTCTGGTACATGCTGCTTCCTGAACTCTTCTTCCCTTCTGTTATTGTGTAACCAGTTCATTGATTTTACATTTTATTTTTATACATTGTTTCCTGCCTGTCATGCCGGGCCTCGTGTATTCGTGCCTGCACTACAAACTGCCCGTGTTGTCTCACTGCCGCCAATCAGAGCTCAGCCCCCTCCTCCATCTGGATTGGTTGGCGGTGGGGTAGCCCCGGCAGTTCTTATTTCAGGCACTGCGGTACAGGAGGTGTCTGTCCCATCTCATCTCTCCATCTTTCTCTCTCCATGCTGTCGCATGCCTCTCCAGGACCTGCATGTTCTCCGTCGCTCTGGCTGCCATTTTGTGTCTAACGCTGTGCGCTTTTCTCACTGTGACTCTGTCTTTCTTCTAAGCAGGTGACGTGAACAGGTAGGTGACTTGCCTCTCGAGGGGCTTCAGATTTCAAGTGGGTTCAAAAAGCTAGAGCCGTTCCGAGGGGTTAGGGCTGAGGTTCGGGTTCAAGGCGAATCCTGCTTGATCAGCTTCTTCCCCCTTTTCCGGCCAGGGAATGACTGCTCAGAAACCGGCAGCAGCAAAATCATGGTCGCTTCCGGGTTCGTTTAGCGGGGAGAAGCAACAAATGCATGTTCACTGCTCAGCTGCTCACTGTGGGCACCTTCCATGACTGTCCTGAGTCTGCAGGAGGGGCAACAGAGCTGGGAATATGCAGGGGCATTGGCCTATTGCACAAAAAAGTACGTGTGTACGTGTGTGTGTGTGTGTGTGTGTTACATACACAGACCTGGGGCATCCCCGATTCCCATCTCTTCCAGCAGGGATGCAGTAATGAAGTGCGGAGCCTGGCAGGTGGTCACCCACCAAGCTTCCTGATTGGATGGGAAGCTAGGCTCCATCGCAGCTTCCCTGGCACTAAGGATCGTGGCTCTTATGTGAGGGATGTAAGTGGCAAGTGCTGCTGAGCTTTGTATCGCTAAGCCGGTCACAGAGAGATCTATGTGAATTCTCTTTCGGCTCCGTGACGCAGTGCCCGCTCTTGTGATTAGGGTGTGCCCAGGCACAGCGTTGGGGGAGGGGGGATTTGGGTGAAGGGATATCAGGTGGGGTGCTTTTACAAGGAAGCATTCACCCGATATATATTAGGGATGCACTGATACCGGTATCTAGTACGCATACCGATTTTTTAATTTTTTCTCCGGTACTTGCCGATACCGGAAGTCCCATTAAGGAAGCCAGGCGGCGTGTAAAGACTCGCCACCCGGCTTCCCGATTTTAGCAGGGAAGCCGTCCCAATGCTTCTCGTCACTATCTGGCCAATCAGCGGCTTCCTGATTGGCCGGGAAGCCGGCTCCATGCTCCCTCGTCTTGAAGCTTTAGCCTTGTGTGACCTTCGCCAACCTCCTCATACATGGACACCGCGTCATTTTATAACCAGGCGTGGTATTCCCGTGTCATTAACCCCGTGTCCTTCTGCACCTCCTCAGGGTTCGGCTGGCCGGGATGAAGATTGCACGACCGCCGGTATCGGTCGGACATTACAAGATGGTGAAGCACAAGAATGACAGAGGCAACGAAGAGAACCCGCACAGGTGAGGGGGTGGGGGGTTGTTGTTAGAGGTCACGAAGCAAAAAATAAGAGATCAATTGAAATAAATATAAGACTTATTAATTAATGATGATGAAAACACATAGCCCACCGATCCAGCCCAGCGTCCCGGAGAATTGTGGATCTGGTGCCGCTGGAGATGAGGAAATTCTGGGTAATCTGTCTACCAGGAGCCATAGCCGGGCTGTAAATGAGAGCTGGCAGAGGAGATCTGTCATCATCATCCGTTTTCCTGGAACGTTATTCAGACGGCGCCATGCTGGGAGGAAATCTGCCTATTTCATAAGTTTAATTAAGTGCCCATTACACTGCGTATTCCGAGTGCCGATTCTTCTTCTTACCCGTCCAATTGTGACACCTGCAGAGCATGAAAGGGATGTACAGCGCCCAAAATGAAAGGTCATTACACATTTATATAGCTCTGACATATACCAGGGCGCTGTACAGAGAACACTGAGCCAATCACATCAGTTTCTGTACAGAGGAGCTTACACTCTAATGTCCCCCCCCAGGAGCTTACACTCCAATGTCCCCCCACAGTCACATCAGTCTCTGTACAGAGGAGCTTACACTCTAATGTCCCATCAAAGTCACAAACAATCAAGGGGTCTATATAGAAATGTGATGTTCACCATTGGAAGTTGAATGATCCCAGTGCATTATGGGAACCTTTTCCCCGGTGTATACGTGCTGTGAAGGAGGAGCTTGTTATACGGTGTCTGACCTTTGCCGCCATTTGTCCCGCAGGTTTGACTTGCTCATCCGAACCCAACGGATGTGGACTCAAGACGGCATGAATTCTCTGACCTACACCCTGCTGTCTAAAGAACAGGAGCCACTCTACACCAACATCACTGTGGACATCGGGGTGGACCCCCGGTCGCAGAAGCCACTACGGATGCGCGGTCCCACCCCTCCGCCGGCTCAGCCTCGGAACAATGTGACCACCAACCAGTCCACTAGAGGAAAACTCACCGTGGTTGTCCAGTCATCCCTCAACAACTCTGCGGCTTTGGATGACAGCAAGAAGGCATTGGCGGCCATTGTAAACGACCCAAAAAGACTTAAGCGGGAAGACAAGGGGCCAAGAACCACCACAGGCCCAAGCAAAATGAAGGCGGTGGTCCATGGTGCCGAAAGTCCCGCCATCTTCAAGCCACCCCAAGAGGCCCCTATAAAGAGAAAGCCCCATGGTGTCAAACTGGAGCCAGTGAAGGCTGAGAGGCCGCTGAACCAAACTTTGCGAAGTAGGCCTCCGACGCTCGAGAGGCAAGCCAAGAAGAACCCAACGCAACTTTGAGAACGGTTTACTATTGGTTGCTGGCAACTTGAGGGAAGACCAGCTGGATGATTCTTCTGTTTCTTGGCCTGGGTACGTTGGGTCGAAGGGATTAGAGACCACCTTTGCCAGTGTGTTCAAGAAGCGGCCGGTCTGAGGAACCGAGCTGTCTGAACGGCGGCAGGACTTGGTCCAAGGCATTGAAAGACCTTCATGTAGAGTCCCCAGTGTGTTTTCAGGGCCTTGGGAGTGCAAAAAAAGGGCCGGTGAAATGCCTCTCGATGGGCCGAAGCTCCTCCGGCCCATTTGAACACCACACTCCCTTACTTCCTGTGCAAGGAAAATCAGGTTTCACTGTGAAAATGGCCAATGACTGAACCCGCTGCCTTGTAATGCCACCCTGCAGACCCTAGGCTGTCTTGATCAATGCCTCCTACACAGCAGGGGGGGAGGGGTGTTGTACATACAATTAAAGCAAACTTGTTAGGACAGAACTGTGGAAGCTGGCATGTCTGATGGGTAACTGGGATGGTGGGACGTTGGGTTCCAGATGGAAGACGCAACTGGATTTTGAGTTGGTGGGACGTTGGGTTCCAAATGGAAGACACAACTGGATTTTTAGTTGATTGGTCCAATTGGTGGGGCAGGGCATTTCAATATGCAACATGTTTAGGGGGCTCTAGAAGACCCCCTTCATCAGGGCTTGTAGTCAATGACCTGAGGACAATCTGGCCAAAGGGTATGGATCCTGTAATTGGGAATCGGCTTTAGCATCCGCTCCGGTCTAACCTGACCTCAGTTGCAGGATAGTTATCTCTCCTCTATGTCAGGGGTAGGCAAACTCCGGCCCTCCAGCTGTGCTGCGACTACAAGTCCCATGAGGCATTGCAGGACTCTGACGGCCACAGGCCTGACTGGCAGAGGCAGATGCAGGATAGTATTTGTAGTTTCAACACAGCTGGAGGTTCAGAGATTGCCTTTAGATCTTGCTAAGTACAGTAAACTCCCTGTTATCCAGCATCCACGGGGATTGTTAGATTACAGATAAATTTAGTTTCTGGTTGCTTGAGAGTTACTATTAAAAATTAGTCTAATGCCATACCCCGTACTATACCCCATACACTACCTTACCCTGTACTATGCCATACTATTACCATACCCCGTACTATACTATACCCCTTACTGTACCATACCACATACCCCGTACTATACCATACCACATACCCCGTACTATACTATATCCCTTACTATACCATACCACATACCCCGTACTATACTATACCCCTTACTATACCATACCACATACCCCGTACTATACTATACCCCGTACTATACCATACCACATACCCTCAAGACGGCATGAATTCTCTGACCTACACCCTGCTGTCTAAAGAACAGGAGCCACTCTACACCAACATCACTGTGGACATCGGGGTGGACCCCCGGTCGCAGAAGCCACTACGGATGCGCGGTCCCACCCCTCCGCCGGCTCAGCCTCGGAACAATGTGACCACCAACCAGTCCACTAGAGGAAAACTCACCGTGGTTGTCCAGTCATCCCTCAACAACTCTGCGGCTTTGGATGACAGCAAGAAGGCATTGGCGGCCATTGTAAACGACCCAAAAAGACTTAAGCGGGAAGACAAGGGGCCAAGAACCACCACAGGCCCAAGCAAAATGAAGGCGGTGGTCCATGGTGCCGAAAGTCCCGCCATCTTCAAGCCACCCCAAGAGGCCCCTATAAAGAGAAAGCCCCATGGTGTCAAACTGGAGCCAGTGAAGGCTGAGAGGCCGCTGAACCAAACTTTGCGAAGTAGGCCTCCGACGCTCGAGAGGCAAGCCAAGAAGAACCCAACGCAACTTTGAGAACGGTTTACTATTGGTTGCTGGCAACTTGAGGGAAGACCAGCTGGATGATTCTTCTGTTTCTTGGCCTGGGTACGTTGGGTCGAAGGGATTAGAGACCACCTTTGCCAGTGTGTTCAAGAAGCGGCCGGTCTGAGGAACCGAGCTGTCTGAACGGCGGCAGGACTTGGTCCAAGGCATTGAAAGACCTTCATGTAGAGTCCCCAGTGTGTTTTCAGGGCCTTGGGAGTGCAAAAAAAGGGCCGGTGAAATGCCTCTCGATGGGCCGAAGCTCCTCCGGCCCATTTGAACACCACACTCCCTTACTTCCTGTGCAAGGAAAATCAGGTTTCACTGTGAAAATGGCCAATGACTGAACCCGCTGCCTTGTAATGCCACCCTGCAGACCCTAGGCTGTCTTGATCAATGCCTCCTACACAGCAGGGGGGGAGGGGTGTTGTACATACAATTAAAGCAAACTTGTTAGGACAGAACTGTGGAAGCTGGCATGTCTGATGGGTAACTGGGATGGTGGGACGTTGGGTTCCAGATGGAAGACGCAACTGGATTTTGAGTTGGTGGGACGTTGGGTTCCAAATGGAAGACACAACTGGATTTTTAGTTGATTGGTCCAATTGGTGGGGCAGGGCATTTCAATATGCAACATGTTTAGGGGGCTCTAGAAGACCCCCTTCATCAGGGCTTGTAGTCAATGACCTGAGGACAATCTGGCCAAAGGGTATGGATCCTGTAATTGGGAATCGGCTTTAGCATCCGCTCCGGTCTAACCTGACCTCAGTTGCAGGATAGTTATCTCTCCTCTATGTCAGGGGTAGGCAAACTCCGGCCCTCCAGCTGTGCTGCGACTACAAGTCCCATGAGGCATTGCAGGACTCTGACGGCCACAGGCCTGACTGGCAGAGGCAGATGCAGGATAGTATTTGTAGTTTCAACACAGCTGGAGGTTCAGAGATTGCCTTTAGATCTTGCTAAGTACAGTAAACTCCCTGTTATCCAGCATCCACGGGGATTGTTAGATTACAGATAAATTTAGTTTCTGGTTGCTTGAGAGTTACTATTAAAAATTAGTCTAATGCCATACCCCGTACTATACCCCATACACTACCTTACCCTGTACTATGCCATACTATTACCATACCCCGTACTATACTATACCCCTTACTGTACCATACCACATACCCCGTACTATACCATACCACATACCCCGTACTATACTATATCCCTTACTATACCATACCACATACCCCGTACTATACTATACCCCTTACTATACCATACCACATACCCCGTACTATACTATACCCCGTACTATACCATACCACATACCCCGTACTATACCATACCCTGTACTATACCATACCCCATACTATACTGTACCCAGTACCATACCATACCCCTTACTATACTGTACCCAGTACCATACCATACCCCTTACTATACCTTACCACATATCCCGTACTATACCATACCCCGTACTATACCATACCACATACCCGTACTATACCCAATACTGTACCATGCCCCGTACTATACCATACCACATAATATACCATACCCCATACTGTACCATGCCCCGTACTATACCATACCACGTACTATAACATACCCCGTACTATACTGTACCCAGTACCATACCATGCCCCTTACTATACTGTACCCAGTACCATACCATACCCCTTACTATACCTTACCACATATCCCGTACTATACCATACCCCGTACTATACCATACCACATACCCGTACTATACCCAATACTGTACTATACCCCATACTGTACCATGCCCCGTACTATACCATACCACATAATATACCATACCCCATACTGTACCATGCCCCGTACTATACCATACCACGTACTATAACATACCCCGTACTATACTATACCACACCACATACCCCGTACTATACAATACCCAATACTATACCCCGTACTATACCATACCCAGTACCATACTATACCCCGTAGTACCCCATACTATACTATACTATACTATACCCAATACTGTACTATACCCCGTACTATACCATACCCAATACTGTACTATACCATACCCAATACTATACCACACCCCGTACTATACTATACCATACCCCATACTGTACCATACCACATACTGTACAATGCCCCGTACTATACCATTAAACTCTGCATTGATTTCATATTAATATTGAAATGCAGTCATCAAAGACAAACAACAAAGTCCAAATCCCATTCGCACTGCCACGGTCTCAAAACCACAAGGTATATGTGGTGCCCAGGTGACCACACGGATGGCGCCGTGCAAAACACTAATAGTAATTAAAAGTAATTCACCGGCACACACTTGAATGGTTTTTAAAGTATTGATATGTTTATTCAATACCCAATGTCACATACTGTCATACGGTGCTAACGTTTTGGGTCCGCACAGGTATCCTTCTACAGAGCAACTGTCGCTCTGATGAAGGATCCCTGTGCGGACCCGAAACGTTAGCACCGTATGACAGTATGTGACATTGGGTATTGAATAAACATATCAATACTTTAAAAACCCTTCACGTGTGTGCCGGTGAATTACTTTTAATTACTATCAAAGACAAACAGACACAATCGTTTCCCGGATAATACATGCCGCAAAACAGTGAGGACACAGGGTATTTTTTTTTCTGGTTAGATGAGACTTCTGGTTAGTTGAATACCAGATAACAGAGAGTTTACTGTTATGTTTTTGTACGCCCTGATGAAGGGGGTCTTCAAGAGCCCCCATGAAACGTGTCGGGTATTCCAACCAACTGCTTCTGGACTATAACATTTGTTTGGTGCTGTCCTTCCTGCCTCCATTTAGTAACTTTTTCAGTTTTTTGTTTTTATTAATTTGCTGTTTTTGTTGTTTTTTTTGTGGTGTATCACACTTCCACGAAGCACTGGAATGGACTACGGCGTAATATTTAATTTATGAAAGATTGTAACAAATGGGACTTTATTTTGTTTTCTCAACAAAGGAACAAGGAAGGACCCCCCCTCCCTCACCCCGGGGACCGGGTCTACGATGGTGCGATTTTACATGGACCTCAGGGTCCCCACACGTCTTGACGTTATTTCATTAAATTATAACAATATAAATGTGTTCGCTTTTGTATTGAAGTCACCCGGGGGCTCTAAATGTCCTAGAACTCCCCCAGACGGTCCCTGGGAGATGCAGGAGTAGGCAAACTTCGGCCCTCCAGCCAGCGAGGTATTTTGGTATTGTGCTGCCCTAGGCAAGACTAAACTCTGGTACCCCCCCCTCCATTCTAAATTTGTCCCGCCCCCTTCCTGTTTAAGACATTTTGGGAGCGATGTATGCAGCTTCTGACGGGCTGCGCTGTTGGCAGTGCAGAATACCACTATTTGGGACTACAATTCCCAGCAATACATTATACAGCAATGCAGATAAATAAGAAGCTACATACTCTTTGTTGCTCCAGGGGGGGCGGCCTGATGTCTCAAGTGGGCTGTTTGGCGTATCAGGTGGCTGTGCAGGGTCTTTGGAGGGCTGTGCGGGGTCTCACCAGGCAGTATGGCCTCTAAGGTGGGCTGTGCGGCATCTCAGGTGGCTGTGCAGGGTCCTAGGAGGGCTGTGCGGCATCTCAGGTGGCTGTGCAGTGTCCTAGGAGGGCTATGCGGCATCTCAGGTGGCTGTGCAGTCTCACCAGGCTGTGTGGTCTCTAAGGTGGGCTGTGCGGCAACTCAGGTGGCTGAGCAGGGTCCTAGGAGGGCTGTGCGGCATCTCAGGTGGCTGTGCAGTCTCACCAGGCTGTGTGGTCTCTAAGGTGGGCTGTGCGGCATCTCAGGGGGTTGTGCAGGGTCTCAGCAGGTTGTGTGAGCTCTACCGTGGGCAGTGTGGCATCTTCAGTGGCTGTGCAGGGTCCTAGGAGGGCTGCTACGAGGTCCCCAGCAAGTCTGGGACCTTATGGCAGCCGCTTGTTTAAAATTTAAAGTGCCGGTATCGGCGCTTCATGTGGGGACATTTTCATGAATACTTGTGAAAATGCCCAGATACTGATAAATGGCAGGTGAGGCTATGGCTCACCGTTAGGGGGACTGTGTTTTTTGTCACCCCCTCTGGAAAGTGCCTGAGTGCTGATTACTGAGAGCACTAGGGTCTAACTGGTGCCTGTTGCATTACTGAGTGCTGATTACTGAGAGCACTAGGGTCCAACTGGTGCCTGTTGCATTACTGAGTGCTGATTACGGAGAGCACTAGGGTCTAACTGGTGCCTCTTACACGCACAAATTTAGACACCGAACGCAGCTGCTGTAACAAAGACAGTGAAGGTAAGAAAAAACAGAGGTGGTCTATGTGACCGCATCTCTCCTTCTGTAATATAAGTTGGAGCTTTAGTACCCCGGAATGTTAGAGATCGCCTGACCCCCCCTCCATATTTTTATCCGCAATATCTCTTTTCCGACAAGTACAAGCAATAGAAGCCAGAACGCAGGGAAGTCGTTTTCTTAGTCACCTTTTTATTATTGAATGTTTCCATTTCAGTAGCACTGAAGATAAAGGAGCAACTATGCAAACTGGGGCCCAGAAGAACCCAACTACTACAACTCCTCATTTTTTTTTTTTATAGTTTACATTTTTAATGGCTGGAGGGGGGGAGGAGCTAAAAAAAAGAATCGGACCTCCCATTTTCAAGCCAGGTCCGTTTTTAAAGTGCCCCCTTGGAGTCCTGAACACAGATCTTAAAGCGGACCTTACAGTACAATGCAAAGAATATTAGGGCCCCTCCCCCTTATAAAAATGTTAGTAGTTCCCAAATGTCACCTGTAAAGAGTTATATCCACTAGGGATGCCCCGATACCGTTTTTTTGGTATCGAGTACCAATATTTATTTTTCTGTAGTCGCCGATAGCGGAAGTCTCATTAAGGAAGCCCGGGCGCCGTGTAATGACTCGCCACCTGGCTTCCTGATTGGCCGGGAAGCCGACTCCCTCTCACAAGGGAGCATGAAGCCGGCTTTCCGATTGGCCAGCTTCTTGACAATCAGAACACCCGGCAGCCGATTGGACATGGTGTGAATGGGCCCTGATACCGGAACTTCCGGTGAGGAGGAAAATATCCTCTGACCGGCAGTGCCGTAGGGGAGCATGTAGCCAACGTCACGTGCCATCATGGAAACTGGGCGGCGAGTAATGACCCACCAGTGACGAGGGAGCCGGTTTCCCCGGCCAATCGGAGAGCCGGGCAGCGTGTAACGACTTGCTGCCAGCTTCCCAATACCGGAAACTCGGGTATCAGGCTAGGCAGCGGCTAAGAGTACTCGCCCAAATGCTCGGCATCAGCGCCGGCCAATTGGGAAGCGGGTCATTACTCGCCGCCCAGTTTCCTTGATGGCACGTGACGTTGGCTACATGTTCCCCTACGGCGCTGCCGGTCAGAGGATATTTTCCTCGTCACCAGAAGTTCCGGTATCAGGGCCCATTCACACCATGTCCGGATCATCTCCATTGTTTCCGGACCCCAAAATGCATCCTAATGTATCCCTATGGCATTTCTGGCCTCTGTTCACACCAGCGCAGTCTATTCCAGACCAGACCAGACAAATACTGCTTGTTCTATTTTGTCTGGTCTTGAATGCACTGGAACGCATCAAAAACACATGGAACGCACCTGTAAGACCATTTTATGCTAAAAAAAAAAAGATCTGGTCCAGAAAATGGTGTGAACCTGACCTCAGGGAAGGTATCGGAGCATTTGGGGCGAATACTCGTACTCGCCCAAATACTCTGTAGCAGCTACGATACCAGTATCGGTGCATCCCGAATATTTACCCTTCCCCCATCTTCTGTGAGATATATATATATATCTATTTTATGTTCCATTTGATGGTATGAAATACTAACATTAAGTGAATATAGAAGGGGGAGGGGCCTGGATGGTTTAATAGAAAAAGCTGACTTTGGCTCGATAAAAGAATGTTTAAAGCTACAGCAAGGACTTATTTCTGTGTTCAGCACTTCCACATTGGGGGCTGAAGGGTGCGTTCTCCATTTTCTTTTAGTTTTGAATAGAGTATGGAACGGTTATAACCTCTCTGTCCCGCTGAGGACATGCACCCTCACTTCCTGTCTTACAAACACAACAGGAAGTGTGGGGAAATCTTAGTTGTCACCTGCAGGTCACACACACCTGTTCCCATTGGAAGAATCCCCCTCGATTCTGTTTCTGGCGACAGTTGTGTAATATCTGGAGATTCCCGTCACTTTGTTTCAGTGACAACGGGACAAGTAGAGGGGGGTGACTCTCCCCGGCGGGTACCCAGACTTCAATGTGACCCCGACAGAGGTTCTGACCCCTTCACTGCTGAATACAAAAGTTCCACACTGGTCCTGGTCACAGAGGTCTATGAATAAACCCAGGGTGTGTGAAACGCGTCAGTGCAGATCCCAGGTGCAGAGATTCTGTGTTGGTTCAGAACAATAAAGTTGCAATTACTTGAATCTTCATGGGAGGGAGGACGGCTTTTTTTTTTCTCTCCTGGAGCTGACTGCTTGAGACAACTTTACATCGGAGCGCTCAGTTAAGCGTTAGTAGGTTTTGGGGTAAAAGTTCCTTCTGTCCAGCAGTACAGCCTGGACCCGGGAGGGGGGATAGTCACCGCTCATGGTCGGGCCCGCTCCTGCCAGCAGCCGGCCTGGTCTGTCTCTGCTAGCACCCGGTCAGGCCTTGAACAGCCTTTTTGGCGTTAAAGATGCAATCGTTCACGGAAACGCCGCGATACGAAGCCCCGATGAGACCGAGAGGAAGGTCGTGCTGGTCAACGTAGGAGAAAAGGTTTTCTGAAGGAAAGGGAGGGGACAGTCAATTACAGAGAAACTCAACGCGTAGATCTAAATCCAAGAAGCAAAAAGATTTAACATGTGAATGGAATCCCAAAAGTCTTTTTGAATCTTTTTGAATCCCTGGTGATCCTGGAATGGAAGTTCTTGTTTGGTCACTTCCTGTTAGACGGTGACAACGCTTTATCCATGTCCCCTAATTGAGCTCTGGTGTTGTCACCCTAATGAGCCTGGGCTTGGCACGAACCCAGTTTGCCAAAGCCTGCTCAGAACTGCGACCGCCACTCCCCCTTTCCCCGCCTAATCAGTGGCGGCAGCATTCCCCACCCCTTAGTGATGTATAGCTGCCGGTGGGAATTTCTCCTCTCTGCATCTGATGGGACTGGGAGGAGGTGTCAACGGTGGCCGTCCCACTTGTAAGCTCGGGTGTACCGTGTACGCGCCAAGCCCGGGCTCTCCACTAGTAGTGACTACAACCAGGTAAGCAACTTCGGCACTCCAGCTGTGGTTACAACTACAAATTCCATCATGCCTTTAGTTCTGGGAGTCATGCCTGTGGCTGTCAGGGTCTTACAATGCCTCATGGGAATTGTAGTTCCACAACGGTAGGAGCGCCGAGGTTGCCTACCCTTCAGCTAGGCTGACAACCATTGCGCAATCGTGATCCTCTGTCACTATCAGCAAGTCATTTCGAGGCATGATGTGCAGCCAAAGCTAAAGTGGGTGCATGTAGACCAGGGGTGGGCAAACTCCAGCCCTTCAGCCGGTGTGGAACTACAAATCCCATGAGGCATTGCAAGATTGTCACAGGCATGGCTCCCAGTGGCAGATGCATGATGGGACTTGAAGTTTCACCACATCTGCAGGTGCGGAGTGTGCCCACCCCTGAGGTAGACAATGGCTTAGGCCTCGTGGACGTATACCGCCCGGATCAGTAAATTCCGGCGGCGGGTACGGTCCGGTTTTATCGATTGGCTGCTCAGCCTGTACAGATCAATGACAAGGGGAGGGGCTCTGCCGCTGTCCATGTGTAGTCACACACGGAGCAAATACCTGACGTATAAGCAGCCCTGGACGCAAACAGCCTGCATACAGGGCCGCCCGTCAGTCCCTGCGCTCCTCGACAGTCATTGATTTGAAGAGAAACATGCTGACCTGGGCGTTGTATGGCCGTGTGAATGAGCCCTAAGGGGCCGGAGGAGAGCAGCAGCATGGGGGTGAAAGAAAGGACAACTGGCAATTGTTTATGACACGCGGGACTTCAGCAGGTTCAGTGTCATCCAGTCTGGGGTTAGCTCCACTTTAATGATCACCATCACTAGAAGTAACCCAGTGAGGTGAATCGAATTCTAATCTGCCCCACCCCTGCCCATCCTGAATACTTGGAGTGACTGGGCAGCACCCCGCCTTTGGTGATACGCATTATGACGTGGGTGCCAGCGGCTGAGATATTCAGCGGGGCGGGGAGAGCTGAGTATTTCTAAAGCCAAACTTTTTTTGTTGTTTTTGTTTTAGAAGGGAATATTTTTCATATGTGTCCCATTTTGGAGATTCTCCTAACTTCCTGTCCACAACAGGAAGTGAGAATTTCAAATAGTTTGGGATTTAGATCCATAGAGAGGCGGCTGAATTGCCGATGTGGGGGTGTAGCCGACCCGAGAGCAATCTACTTTCACCTTACGCCCTCTAGTGTCACCAACTGGTAATTACCCCTTTCGCAGGGGTGGGCAACTCCGGCCCTCTGGGCTGTTGTAGAATTACAAGTCCCATGAGGCATTGCAAGGCTGACCGTTACAGGCATGATGGGGTCTAGAGTGTACCTACCCGCCCTTGCCCACCCCAACAAGGCCCACAAACCCAGCAATATTCTTACCGATGTGCTTCCAGTGTCCCAGCGTATACTGAGGAATACAGCTCTGTGAAAGGAACCAGAGAGGGGACATGGTGTAAATGAGAGGCGCAGAAGAAGAATAACAGCGCTAACCCAATAGTAAAAGATCGCCTGCGCCCTTAAAGTTGGACCTCTGCCAAAATGTGGTTGTTGTATAAAAAGCACTAGTCCATCACAGCACCCAGCCTCAGTACTCTTCTCAAGAGCCCTCAAACCTGATGCAAGCAGTGGGAGGAGTTATGCAACTGTCAAACTGCCTGGATTGGCAGGTGTAAGTCTGGAACAGTGGGCGTTCCTAGACAGGCTGTATTTGCATACAGACCACCCTAGGTAACGCCCACATGTGATGCTGCCCTTATCCTATTTCTCTATAATTGATAGAGAAACCCCCCCCTCCCCCTCCGCCCCTCGGCTACCTTGTTGATGCTGACGATGGCTCGGCTGGGCTTCCCCTTCACCCCGAGCTGAGTTCCGGCCGCCGCGGTCGCCAGATTCAAAATAGTTTCCGGTTGAACGGACTCCGGGTCTCCAAAGCTGCTCTCGAACCAGGCACCGCCCAGCATCACCTGAAAAACATGGCCGTCACCTCCTCATCCTATCAGGGCAACACAAATGTCAGGGGAACTGTGGAGAATTGCATGAGGCTGAACTACAAATCCCAGCATGCCCTGCTAGCGCGTGTTTACCGTTAGCCTGGTTGACGCCGATCCTCTTCGGTTATGTTCTGGATAGGTGAGCGAGTCGTACACCATTCCCAGCAGGGCCGCGTCCTCGAATGACGGGATCAGATGACCGAAACCCTGCGGAGGAGGAAAGGGGGTGGAGCCTGAGAGCAGCGCCAAGCGGTTTTATAGCACATTACCATAAATGTAACAAATCCAATCCTCTCCTAGCTGTACCGTTCCAGGCGACCTCCATGTGCCCGCCAGGCCCAATATAGGATCCGCTTACTCCCTGCAGTCACAACCAAACACTCAGGTCCCATGCTGCTATGTTTTTTTTTCTTCAATTTCAACTAGCTTTATTAAACCACTTACATCATTACACCCATCAAACCGGGCTCCTCCTTTGATGCACATCATCCAGTCCGGAGATCTACACAGCCATGCCACACGGTACAGTCATCTATAGCAGGGCAGCAGACCTGATTTCTATCCACTGCAGTTCAGTGATACTCACAGGTCTTGTCCCTCCCTCCAGTCTGTGATTGGACAGTGAAAGAGAAGCAGCAGACTGATGAGCTCATCTCTCTCCTCCGCTGTCACATGCGACTCCGCCCCCCCTGATGCATTTAATCCTAAAGAAGGAACACCCCATATCAGGGGTGAAATGAGTCAGGAGGCGGAGTCATGTGCGATGAAGGGAGAGGATGTCTGTTTGGTGCCAATAAAGCTTATTATGGTTCAGCAAAAAAAAAAAAAAAAGTGCCATGTTTGTATGGCTGTAGGGAAAAGGCGGATCCTGAAGAGCCACGCCCCCCCGAGGTGCCTTTCACATATCTGTAGCAGATTCTGCCACATGCTACCTGCGCCAAAGCCCCGAACGATCAGATTACAAGGAGGAGAGACGCTCACCGATACGGGCAAAACCTCTCCGTCGTACTCCAAGTTCACCACTGCGACATTGGCCGCCCCCAGCTGACGCAAGGTGTCCGCCATAGGCTTGGCGACCGGGTCCAGCAGCCTGCCTAGAACTGGAAACAATAGAAATGGGTTAGGTCACATGACCATCATCATCAGAGTACACAGGGCGGTACCTGGAGCAGCCTATGCATAAACCATACGCAGCCATTTTTAAGAGGACCTGTCATAGGCGCTTCAAAGACACCTATCAATAGCTAATAAATCAGTCTTGTACATTGGTACCGGCTCCTCTCCTGGACGGAAATGGCTTCCTCTGATGTCACCGCACACTGTGAGCACCTCACAATGTGCATTAGAAGCTGCAGCAAGTCATATAGACTTAATTCCCAGGCTGGAGGACATCCAGCATCATCCAACACTTCCCTCCCCACCCTGGCCCACCCCTAAGTCGAACATCTATGAGGTTGTTAGCTAGGAATAGAGATCCCTCAATAGATTTGGTGGCACGGGGCTGCACGAGACTCTCTTTGGTACCCGACGCCTGTCTGTATTACCTGATGCTGGGACCGCGCTGAAGATGTGATCGGCTGTGACGCCGCCATTCGGAAGTTTGATCTGTGGAAACAAACGCGGTTCTGATTAGTCTGAATAGATATGGAACAGAATTCCCTTCAGAAAGTCGTTCATTTAAAACAATACTAAACGAAAGGGTCATGGCAGGGACAAAATGCGTTTTAAAGGGGTATTCCACCAAATATTGATATTTTAGGGATGAGCTCAGGTTTAAGACCTAAGCCGTTGTTCTGTCGAGGTGGCCAACTCATAGAAAACATCCCCCACATCGCACATCCGCTGTAGATTGCGATGAGATGGCGCTAGTGCGCCAGCCGTCGGCTCTTGCCATCGTCGTTGACTTCTCCACTTGCCGTAGGTGCGCCTTCCAAAGTCTCTAACTTGCTTGTGGCAATCGCAGATTGTACAGCTTGATACTTCTCTTGGGCGGCTGCGCAGGCGCACTGTCGGGAGTTGGATGTCTCGACGAGTTGGAGAATTAGATAGAACACCGTTCCAAACAAGGAAGTGCCATCCAATCACCCGTAGGCTGGGCATTCCCAACCCGCATCTGCATGTAAACAAAGGGGCGGGATGCTTGTGCTGACGTCACGGACCATATATGGCCACAAAGCCATATGTCACTTAACAAATATAGGCATGTAGCCATATAAGGTCAATGACATCACTGCATCCCGCCCCTTTACATGCGTCAAGCTGTAGGCAGGGAATTCTTACAGCATTTTTAACATTGGAAAGACTTCCCTCACTTCCTGTCCCTGTGCACGCAATGGTTGTCACCGAGACAGGGAGGCACAGAGAGCAATAGGATCATTGTCAGAAGTTCCAACTCCTCCCCAGAGATGTGGGTTTGTCCTGTTCCTGTTGAATGCAATTTCCCATCACTTCCTGTCAGCACAGGAAGTGATGGGAAATCTCTCCAATAGGCAGTAAACACCCGACAACCCTGGAGTTGCACTTCTTTGGATGTTGGGTTCATTGCTCCGCCCACCTTCCAGCTGTTATTAGGATTCCTCTCTATGGCCTCCACAGGGGTGTCCTTGTGGATCTCCACCCCCCTCTTCTTGATGTAATCCTCCAACCCATCAGACAGCGTCTGCATCCCCCTGCGCAGCGACCACTGGCTCCAGCGCTCCGTCTTGGCTCGCTGGATGAGAGGAGAGTCCAACTCCGGGGTCTTCTCTGCTGCAGGAATACAAAGTGTAGGAATAAGACACGCCCCCTCCGATATTTAAAAAACCCCATTCAGTGGGAGGGGCTTCCCATCAATATTTACATATAAAGGATATTTCTCCAGTGGAATGTCTGTACTAGAAGCAGCCAATCACCTACCTCCGCCTGTCGCCATACCCAGGATGACCGATCTCTTTCGGGCTTCTGCGTCATGCAGGAAAGGGAAGCAGGCGCGCAGGCTGAGCTTCCGACAGTCGCCAGCGAATACGCCCCGACACAAACTGTCCACGACGATGTCTGCCAGCTGCAGGAGAGAGAAGATGACTGGACCTGAAGTCTGCGCACTTGTAGAAAGAGAACAATGAATGCAGGGGTAGAATATTAAAATAAATCATTTTGAAATGTAGGCGGAGCTAGAGAGTGAACCAATCCTAATATCAGCTTTCTGTCAAGCAGAACATCAGAGAGAGGGAGGGGCAAGAAGGAGCCAATCAGGATCTGCATGACTGTGATAACAGGGAACATGCTGACAGAAGCAGAGAGATAAGTGATGACCTTATTCGTCTGCTGGTCCTTCACGTCCAATCAGAAGGCTGGGGGGAGTGG